TAAAAGCAGCTGCAGCTGGGCGTGACTAATGTTAGAATATAAATTTACAAAGCGTAACTAAACCAGTGTAAAATCTTTTTATGTGCCAAGCTAATAATATAGTTACATATTCACAAGTCAATTGCCAAACAACATGCTTAAACGCTTCTGGTTCGTATTTCTACTCCTAAATTTGACCTATTCAAAATTTGTCTTTTATTTAGTTGCCTGCTTTTCTCTCAGCTGTTGATAGCCCTTTGCCTAGCTAGTTATACACGAATTATGTTCAAGGGACAATGCCCTAAGTTTGTGGAGCTTGAGTCTGTTGGGAATTCCGAAATATCGGTAAATATGTGTTAATTAATATATACTGCATATATGAAAGCATATGTTTCCAAATTTCGCAGTTTACTGGCAACTGGTTTCAATATGCAGTGCATCCAAATTATCTGCAGGATAAATGCATTAAACGAGCCTTCGATAATAATTTCTATTGGGCACAGTTTGCGCAAACTGATAATGAGAATTTCATAATACAGTATTTTTGCTTCGAGAATCGCCAGCCCAAATTAGGTCGACAGCATTCAAGTGGGTTTATTTGAAAATCCTTATTACCTGCAAATTTTTAGTTTATATCTTTTAATTATAGGATCAATTTCGATCTTTATGCGCGAGCGTACACCAAGGCCAGAAACAATTGCAGCCATAACAAAGGCTTTAAAGTACAATTTCAAATTTCCAGTTGGTCTATTAAACTACACAGACTATTCGTATTGTACAGATATTGAAATTAAAGAAGCTACCGCACGAGCTTAATTTTTATGTTTTTCAATGAACTTTTCCGCTGCTTTGGTTTTCATTTTGTGAATTTTCTAATTTACAGTCACGCATTGTTCTGGCATTGGCGCAACTGTTAATTTAGGTCAACGGAAACGCAAAATATCTTTCATTTAAAATCCGCAACCGCAACATTTTCTCATATTGAATATTTTTGGAGGAGGCAAACTTCAGAGCTAAACAAAAGTTAAATTTACTTATCATTTAACAATTCTCGCATTCGCATGCACGAATACGAATACGAATTGAGAGTCACTAAGCGAATCTTTACGCTTATTTACTTTCATTTCCAAGTATTTCAATAGAACAAACAACAACAAAAACAACAACAAAAACAACAAGGAGCACAAATTTCCTCCTAGCTGGGCCCGCACATAATTCATGCTTGAGGCAATTTGAATGTCCAATAATCAGAAATGCCTCAAGTTTTTGTGCTCGCACTTTGGCCTGACTTTTATTGACTTGGCTTTGCCTGCTTTTTGATTTGATTATAAATTAAATAAGTGCCATGGCAGCGGCAGCGCCAGCAACTGAACCACAAGCGTCGCCCGCAACGAAGGTTGTCTGCCTCTGCCGCCCAACCCCGCCCAACGCCGCCCAACCCCGCCTAGGCCTGTGCCAGCCTTTCGCCTCATTTGATTAAAGTTTTCAGTTTGCCTTGGACGCGTTCCGTCTCCCCAATTCAACCTCTCTCTCTCTCTCTCTCTCTCTCTCTCTATCTCTCTCTCTCTGCCTCTCTTTTGGCATAATCAATAATTTATTGAACTTGGCCCTGACCAGCGTAGCAAACTTTAATTTAATTTCTAGCCAAAATTTGCCTGAACGCACACACGGCGTATGTGTAATCTTTATATAATCAATGCATTGAACTCGGTTCCATCTCCCTCTCTCTTAGGGCCAGCCCCTCGTGCAGCATAAATATGCCATTGATATGGCTTCTACGTATTTTGCGTGCTTTTTGTGTGGGAAAATTTCTTCTGTTTGGTTTTTTTGCATGTCTGAGACGTGGATTCGTGTAGGTGCCACGATTTAAATTTTGTAAAAGGCTTTGGCTCGGTCATCATGGCAAATATATTGGAAAAATAGAGCAAAAATTATGTTAAAACGATTTTTCAAAATTGAGCTGAAAATTTGTATTTGAAAGTTAATAAAAAATTGTTTTAAATATGTATGTACAGATATCTGGTTCTATATTCTTATAAGCCAACATTATTTTTATTTAAAAAATTTATTTCAAAATGTATATAAAGTATATTTATAAGACAAAGTCCATCTTCTCTTTTGTGAGACATTTATTTTATTCGTATTATATTTCAAACATTCATCAACTAATTTCAATATTTAGCCCATTGTACTTTTGCTTGGGGGTCATTATATATTTTTACCTTTATTTCTTGGTCTTGTTCTACCGTCTGGTATTTGGAACGCTGTCTAGCCTGGCTTATAACTGTTCAATGCTTTTAGTTTGATATGGGTTTAATTTGCTTGCCTTTTTTTCATGAGACAGAGAGAGCGAGACAGAGGAAGAGGTGTCTCTTTGCAACTTAAGATGCTGCCCATTTTGTGGCTGGCGCGCAGTACACAACAGGACACAACTAGCACAACTGTGCGTCCTTCCATTGGCCATGGATCTGGGGCCGCACCGCGGCAACACGCTTATTAGTTGCCTAACCAAGCTTTGAGTATTAGTGTCAGCTCCAATGTTGTGGCATTTATGTTCGGACAGATGGAACCATAAACAGTGGTTGCAGTTTGCCCCCTCATTTGCAACCCCCGCCCTAAGCCCCATCCTCTGGCGCTTGCCGCTGTCAGTTGCAGTGCTTGTCCCTTGGCTGCTGTCGTAAATGCTAAATGATGCATATTTCATGGGACTTGCATGCTTTAGTGGCCAAAAATTGCAATGATCGAAATCAGTCAACACACGCACAACCCACACACTCACACACACGCACACACGTATGCTGTAACCCCAGGCTGAGCTCTAGAGTTGTTGATAAATTGAATTCGATGGACTTTCGGCTGTCGTCTGAGTTCATTGAGTTGCCAGGGCTTTAAAGTCAGGCACGTTCCATTCAACTGGCAGAGAATTATAAACGAAATGCCGTTACATCAGCCCCACCCCAACCAGGGCTGGTGTTTTCTCTCCTTTCTCCTCTTTTTTTTTTATATTTTACATGCATAATACTTTTGGGGTGTTGATAAATATTGAAATAGACGTCAATAACATTTTCGCACGCTGTGCTTGTTTTGTTAAGCCACCACCCACAGGCAAATGTTGTAAGGTGTTTGGGCGTGCCTTTTAAGGGGGTTGTATGAGAAGGATCTGCCAGGATTGGTTCGATGTGCGTGTCGCACCCAAAATCTGTTAATAATGACGCTTGACATATGTATGTAGACTCAAGGGGAAGAAGCTGCTGCACGAACAACATCCCAGCCAAAAGCTGACGCATTTGTGCGTGTGAAATATGTTTTGTCAACTTATTAAATATGCTCAGTTCTGTTGTTCTTTTTTTTCTTTTTTGCCTTCTTTTTATTTTGGGTTCGACTACGTGCTGTGGCATTTGAATGTCAAGAAGAGAAAAGGTTTAGCTCGTGATGCGGTGACTGAATTGATGGTTAAATTATAAGGTGTGGTTGCTTTTGCTAAAGAACCCTTGGCCATAAGCTAAGATAAAGTGTGGAAATTTAGTGGTAAATGTGGCAAATATATTACGAGTTAATAATGTTGTTAAATCGATCAAATTCAAAAGCGTCATCTAGAAATTTATATTTAATTTGGTATAATTTATATTTTTTTAAATTATTTTTTTTATGATTCGAAAACTCTGTTTAAACTTCATTTTGTGAAACTGTTTATAACTGCAGATAATCATTACAATCTTTATTTATTTTGAAGTTTCAGTTTCCGCCCTATTAAGCATTCAGTTAATTAAATACATTGCGTATACGCACATCTATCCTTTAATTAATTTCAAAAGCGCTCGCCTGTAAATATTTTGTGCTCATCAACAGAGTGAGTTAATAATTTAATTGGCATTAATTTGAATTTGATTTATTTAACATCAATTCATCAATGGCAAATTAACAATGAATGCACCGTAAATATGACCCACGGCAAACACAGCGAGTGCTTTTGCAAATCATATTACGTATACGCCCAGACACTCACGTACAGGCTAGAAGAGGGAGGCCACACTCATTGCCCTGGCAAACGACATTCATCTGACCAAATGGCAACCGTTTTTTGGGGTCATCCTCTCGGCCAACGTGTGTTTATTATCAATTGCGGGGATGAGGGAAAAAAATAATAGAGATGTTGAATGTACTTGGGGTGCGGTTCAGGGTCTGTTCTGTGAGCACTTATTTTTATGTGGCAGAAAACAAAAAGATATTTTATCTGTGCTAGGCGACAGCAGCCTTCTGTCTGGCTGTCTATTTGCCCCCAATGCTACGTTGTGTATTTACAGGTAACAGGTAAAAAGCATTGAAATGTGCCCGTGTTTTGTTTGCGAACAACCTGCTTTTTATTTTGAACGTCTCGCTGGCGCCACCGAACCGAGCAGCGCCCGCTTTTAATGGAGTAGACAACAACAGCAGCAACAACAACAACAACAATAACTGCGTTGGCGACATTAAATGGGCGCCAGTTGCCAACCCCTTTACCCACAGCGTCCTGTCAACGTCTCCTATGCGTGTGCCTAGCATATTTGTCTCTGTGTTCACTTTACGAGCTTAGAGTCCCGGCTATCAGCTGTGAGTGGGTGTGCGATTGTTTGTGTGTGTCTGTTTAATTATGCCATTAAATTTGAGCATTGCACTCATAACTTTTGTTAGCTGTTTCTAGCACCATCTTTTTATTGCTGCAATTGTGAATATAATTTAAATTAATACGCATATTGGCAAAACCAATTTTCATATTAGCCACGGCAGAGCTTTTCAATTGAAACCAATTTACTTATTGACACTATCTAACAAAATAAAGCAATTTAAATTATGTACAACTTAAGCCCTAAACATGCACTAAAAAAAATTTGCTTAATTTTTTTGGTGTAATATTTTGAGTTTTGAACGCCATGCAAATTATAAGGAATGTAGCCAAACCCCTTCATAATAATTAAACATATATAATAACAATCTATTTTCATATTCTCCATTTAAAATGTGATTTTTTAATTGTTTTACAGATAAACGCCGGCAATGCGAAGCCTACACATCAGGATTAAGTGCCGGACTACTCTTTTGAGCTCAATTTATAATTGATAACATTGATAAAACACTTCTCTAATCGGAATTTGGATATCGAAGTTGGCCTGGAATTTGGGAAATTGAAAAACACATTGGCCAGAGCCCCTCAACAGAGGTTCAGTACACTTTAGCAACTCATAGCAGTAGGAGCTTAGAACTAAAACACAAATTTTTTAGAAAACAAAAAACACACAAAAATAATTGTAAAACTCACAGCTGGGGTACTCCACGCGTTCCAGATTTTAGTTTAAGAAAAAAGTGATATTTTTTAAGAGAAACCAAAAGCTCGAGTGTTTGCGAAGGACCATAATGTAAGTTAACAAAAAAAAAGAAAACAATTAAGACAGAAAACTAATGTATACATTTCTTCAACAGCAACTGATAGCTAGACATCCGAAATGGGCTAAAATAAATCGAGACTAAATACAATTAACATAGCATACTTATAACCGTAACTCCATATACTATTACACTCGGATACTTAATACATACTACAGACCCAACGGAGATCAATGCAACACTAGACTATGGAAATAACACATGTGCAATCGCGTTACACATTGCAACACCAAGTATATCCATATTCATGTGTACATAATATCGATCCTCATTAACGCTACTCTTTCAGCATCATTTGCAAACATCGGAGGACTGGAATCGACTGTAGTAACACTATACAACACTGTAAGCAAAAAGTGTATATATTTAACAAATATACTTATTTGTCTATAGCTTTTATAGTAGCTTGTTCGGTAACACTCGTCACAGGAGTGGAATAATCAACCACAACACTGAACACTTGAAAAACTACCTGTGCAATCGCATGACTCTGTGAGTATATTATTTAGTAAATTATTTATATATATACTTATGCCCGTTCAGCATCATTGTCAACGGTTTCATCATCGGAGAAGGAGCGGATTAATCGACGGTGGTAACTTTTGTTTGCCTGGCACTCAATTTACGAAAAGCCGAAGCCTTAAATATATATTTTGTAAAGAATGAAAATAAAATGATATATATTTTTTAATTGCACAACTTTTTGCTCAGCCAGATTGTCATCGATAATATTCTAGCAAATTCCATTGTGAATCAGCCAAATATATTCTATAACATATATAGGCAGCCTGCTTGGATTTTCAGTCAGATAGTTTGTTAGATTGATTAAGAATTGCCTCTGATTCTGGCCTTGATAACTATGAGAGTCCTTTATTTCCTTATATAACTTGATTTAAATTGTGCCGAATTCTAGTTTATAAATAAAAACACGATGTCATTTATTTTATTTTTAGGATAACGAAAACTTCCATCTGTTGGCTCGCCTGCTCAAAGGTAATGTCTGACTGACAACTCTGGCCATATTGGGAAGCCGGAGGAAAGGGTCATTAGCAGGAACCACACACCAGCCGTGTATTCGCAGTCCGCGTCAACATAATTGATGAGTTTTGGCTTGTAGCAAACCCGAATATATCCTAGTTGTGTCCTGCGGTTCACACACGCACACACACAGCACTCGCACACTTGGAGCACCGCGTGTTGGCCATGTAGGTAAATTGGCTTATTTTGTCGACAGTTTAAGTCCCTTGGGTATTTATTGAAATTTACTCGCAATGGCAAAACACTTAAGTTGGCATTAGGCCTTCCCCCAAGCTTGTAGTCGGGTGCATTTGATAAATGATTTTTAGGCTCCCTCACGGGTCAGAGTGTTGGCATACAAAATAAATTATATAAATATATATATTATATGTAAACTTACAAAGCTAGAAGCTAACAAAACGTTTAAAGAATTTGTAGAAGCCGCAGTAATCACGGGCATAGGATCCATCACACGTGGCAAACGCCTGTTCACATCGCAGGCATGGATCATGGAGCGTTTCATACTATCGCCGGCAAAGGAACGCAAATGCCGGGCCGCCTCGAGACCGCACAGCATGGCGCCCCTCGTGTAATAGCAGTCGAGGACATCGTTAAAGGTCTGACAGACCTTGGTCGCATTACGCTGCTCATACCAATCCGCTGGCGCCTCGCACTCGATCATGTCCGTGCGCAGCTCCTTTAAGCAGCTGTGCGCCTCGTTGAGGCTCGCGCAGCGCTTCCTATTGCTGCTGCTGCTGCTGTCGGCGTCGGCGTCGCAGACCTCCGCCTTGTAGTACTTGAGACCCTCGGCGAGCTTGCCATAGATGTTGTCATCGGAAAGGAAACAGTTGCTTGTGGCGGCTCGTATATGATCCACCACGTCGGATATCTCCTCACAGGACTCCATCAGCATCGGCTGTGCCAGCAACAACACAATACGCTCCGGACTAACCACATAAAGGCGTGCCAGCTGCATCACCACGGGATTATCATCGCACAGACGATTCACGGATAGAACTGCACCGCTCTTGCTCTTCAGCTGATAGCCTGGCGGACATGTTGCCGCAGTCGTTTCCTTCAGCTGATAGCCAGGCGGACACGTAGCGGATCCGTCTTTACTCGACTTGCTCTCCGGCTTAGCTGAGGGCAATACTTTTGTAGGTGCACCAGGACGGCTGTGCGCCTCGAAACCATAGCGATGAAAGTACCAGGGAAACCATATCGCCTCCGTTGTCTGCAGTTCAAATAGAATCAGCACAAGGAGCAGCTGCGGAAAGAGTCGCCAAGTGGTTGACATTGCCCAGATATATACATTTATTTTAATACTGGATTTTCCTGTAAGGCTGCCCCAGTGATCTTTGTTTTAGAAAAAATATTCAATGTTCAAAATGTAAAATATGTAATTGACACGGTTTTTTGTCAAGGGAAGGCATCCCAATCAACGCAAAGAAAAGGGATGGTGTATAATATGGGGATGTAGATAATATTTCAATATTTTTATTTCTGCGAAATAAGATTAAGTTTTTTATTGACTAAGTTTGTAAATTTATTCTCTACAGAAAACCACGAATTATTTAAAATAACGCAAGCTTATGGACTGGAGCACTAAATCGCCAAATGTTAGAACTATTAATAATATGCAATCAATTTAATTTATGCTTTATATGTGTAAGTTAACCACTGACTATTGGTATGTGCTGACCCAGCGTTCTGGGGAAGCCAATGACCAGAGTCATGTGGCGACGGATATGTCGCAACTATGTCGCCGGCCGCGACGGTCATCCGACACCGCACACGAGGCGCTAACGCTGCACTTTTGCGAGAGCGGCGGCAGCGGCTCTGCAGCAGCGACGGCGGCTCTGGAGCAGCGACGGCGTCTCTGCAGGCATTGCTTAGATTGATAAAGATTGTATTTTTTAGTCTAAGTTTGGAAACAATAACAACGCGACGTACCGTCCCTTGAAGTCTCCCGTTAGTTAACTCATTTTTATATGCATCTTTACATGCAACTGGCAAACCCAAAGTTGCAGACATAAATGTACTAATTTGTACATTGTTAAAGCTAAGCTTAAGTCGAAATTTTTATGTAATCTCAGCTGGTCTTTCTCTCTATGAGAAAATAGTTGCATGTCAGCTAAAATTCTTTAAAAAAAAACTAGCATTTTATGTTTTAAAACATTATTGTAAATCAAGTTATCTATTAAAAGGTTATTTGTAGGTATTTCATTGCTCTTTAATTCCCTGACTCATAATTAGATAATGTAATAAAACTGTAATCAACTTATGCTTTGAATATAATTTATATATATTTATTTTTCTTTTCAGCTGAACTTTTGGAATCTTGTAATCCCAGTTGGACTTCAGTTGCCTTACATTTCTCGAAGGTTCATGCTGCTGCCAATCCTCAACTGAAAAACTTGACAACGAATAAACAAATAATCGCAGAACTCTTCCCAACCTCACACTCAGAATGCAAATTGAAGACTTTATAGACTCTGGCTTTTGTGCGAGCGAACGGACATAATCTATTGCGAAATTATCACAGAAATTGCACAAAGCAGATACAAGTAAGTGTTTCATTTTGTGCGCTTTGTGTTAAAGAAGAAAAAAAGAAAACTCAAATGAAATCGCATTTTATGCTGTCCATAAGGCGACCTTCCCACCTTCCCACCTCCTGCCCAACGACTAACCCCGCTGCTGTTGCTGTCTTTATCATTGCTCGCACCTTGACGCACTTTTTGTGAATTGTCAAGGATATGGCGAGTGAAGAATTTTATTAGCCCTCATAAGTTGTAAAGTGTATGGCAAGAAGCGAGCACAAAGCGACTGACTGACTCTGCCGGGTACATTTTTGTGCGTCCCCTCACTTCATGTTAAACAGATTTTTATTGCAGTTTTTTATTTGCATTTCTTGTTCACGGATCCCGATATTCTTTTTGTAATTTTTTTTTTTTTGTTGTTTACAAGGAATTTACTTTGTCGCACTTGATGTGGATATTTCTTTTTTTTTTTATTATTATTTAACATTTCGTTTCATTTTGTCGCTGTAGGAAATGAAATATTTTTGCATATAAAAAACATTTGACTTCATGCTGTGACAATGTTTTCGCGCTGTTTATGCGGCAGCTTCCACTTTCCTGTCTTTCTGTTTTTTTTTATTTTATATTTTATTTTATTTTTGCTCTGCTCATATCCGCCGCGTAATAAAATAACAAGGTAAATATGCAAAAGAGCAAAAATTTAAAAAGCTCATGAATAAGAGAGTACGCCGTGAGAGAGAGAGAGAGAGAGAGAGGGAGATAGAGAGAGCGAGAGAGAGAGAGTGTGTAAGCTCTTGGCTGTGCTATCATAATCAACACATCATGAAGCTGAGTTTTTATATGAAATTTCATGCCTTTATAAATGCATTTCTTATCATTAATCTTCAGCTGCGTAAAGCAGCTTGTAATTGTCATCCTCATGTCAGATGCCTATAACAATTACTTGAATTGACCAACGGAGGCAATATGCGAAGAGAGATGGCGCAGAATATAAATGAAGAAAAGGAGAGAGAAAGAACGCTGAGCGAGACAGAGGGAAAGAGATAGAGAGAGAGTCTTTTGCACACTTTCCAATTCAGTTCATGGCAAATTATGCCATTAGGTTGCCATGTCGAAATTTGCTCAATGAACTGTGTTAAATTTGTTGACTAATTGCGTGTGTCCTGCGCGCTGCTCCTGGCTGACCCAAACACTAGGATGCTGCAAAAACTGACACGAGCCTGATATAAAAATTAATTGGATTTTTATGCGACATGTTCTTAAAGCCAAGTGCTGCTGATGAGAGTCTATTAAAGTGTCATTTTGTACATATATTATGGCTGCAGGGACAACGAAGGGCAGATTACGGGAGAGAGAGTGGGAAATATCTATCTTAATGGGGAAATTTTAAACAGGGTATGGAGTGAACAATGTCTACGGTAATAATAATAATAATGAATATTATTATATATTATTTATAAAATAAATCCGTTTAAAGTAGCTATAATAGTAATAGATTTTGATGCTCAGATTTAAGAAACTCGACAAAGGGGCTGACTGTATGAATGCGTTGCTTCACTCTTGTAATTCTCAACAAGTTAAGGCTTCGAAGGGGCATTGGCAATCATATAGTCAGTAGCCTAGTCTGATATAAGCCGGAGGTTCTTCAATTCGATATGCAGACAACCAGCTATTTTTGTTTGATTTCTTGGTTATTGCATATAAAAATTGCCTTAGAGGAATCCCAACTTAGAATTTATAAAAATATTAATAATTTGTAAGCAAATTGTTTCGATCAGCTGACATTATTGCTGCTTGCATTGGCATTAATAAGGCTAATTTCAACTGTTTTTTACATAGATTTCTCTTACGGATGAAATTTCAGAAAAACCTTTTACTTAAGTCAGGCAAAATAGCTATAAAAACACAGTTAATGAACAATCAGTTATTCAGACGGCACAAAAGAAGTTTTATACAATGTATAAAGATAAACTGAGCTGAACTCGGACTCTGTTGTCGACGAAATGGAGTGCATTTTAAATACATAAATTTATATTTTACACATAATTTAATGCAATTAATTGAACATTAAAAGTGCAATGGAAAATGCACAGCACGAGGCAAGAATGAAAACAAACGATCCGGATAATTTATGAACAACAAAAACCTCTGATGAAATTTGATTAAAAATAATGGTTATATATATTTATATTGTCATAAGTAGGTGGAGACTCGCTGTGTTCGCGGAGCGGAGAGCATAATTAAAATGTCAAACATGGCATAAATCATGCTGTTGGTTAATGCAGTGTGCGTGTGCTCACTGCATGTGCTAAAATTTTAATTGCATTTTCATTAAAATCAATAAAATGCGAAACTCCCAGAAATAGCTGCCCACCCATTCGATTGCCCTTCGCAGCTGAGGAAAGTGCACTTTATGCAACCGGGGCCCCAAAAATGGCACTTCATTGCGCAAAGAACTTTTACAGTCAGCCAGGTGCGAGTGCTTCAAAATGAAAAACTAATGAAAATGCAAGCATCAACGAAAAGCGGCCACGACGCAGTGGCAGGGGCAGGGGCAGGGGCAAAGGGGCTCCAGGAGCAAAGAGGTTTTGGTACCAGCTAGTAGATGTGCTGCCCAGTGCAAATGGAAATTAG